AAGATAATTCTGGAAACAGGGTAGACTCAAGGATAGATCAAAGTGAGACAACAGTAGAAAAAGCAAGAGAAGAAAACCATTCAGCAGTCCAGAAAAGAGCTGATAAAGACCAGAACCATGAAGGCAGCCAGGTGGTTACAACAGATCTTAAGGAGATAAAATTAATAAGATTAAAGTTAACTGAAGTACTTGATAGGAAATATTGGACTTTCAAAAGAACCCTGATTTGATAGAAAATATTATAGTCAAAACCTATAAAACCCCTGAAATTATATGGAAACATAATACATATAATAATTACCAAAAAAAAAACCTGAATTTTGAACCCTAGTTAATGTACAGGGTCTTGGAAATTATTTTAGAAATCATTATTTGTAAAGAACAATTTCAAAAAAGTATCCATAACTCAGAAAAGACATTTCAAAAGAAAAGAACACAAATTACCTCCAAACCCAAGCCCTGACAAGTTACTTCTTTTACCACTCTATTTTTAGTCATCTAAGTGTCTAAATTCTCAAAACAAGTTCACAATCTTTTTTAAAATTAATTAAAGAGGGGTATTAAACAAAACATAGTCTCAATAGAACTTCAACAATTTAATTACCAAATAAAGATGTTTTTGTAACAAAAAGGGGCAGTGTGGCAACAGAGTAGCAACTTCAAAAGAACAAACAATCAAAGGTCAATCAAGGGCAGTTTCAGTGGGCCAGATAAAATATTAAGTGGCACTCAATCTTTGTCTCTTTCACAGAACATCAACTTCAGTAGGAAATTAAGAAGGAAAACATTACATTTGCTGCACTGAGAGTATTGTTCATATCTCTTTTGTTAAACTCCATTTAGCTATTTTTCTGATGTACAGAAAGGTCCTCAAAATAAATAAAAAAATATTTAGTTTTACTTACATATTTGGAATGCTACTTTGACAACATTTATCAATGTTTCTAAAGTTTCCTTAAATCCACAAAGAAATTATTCTTAAGTCCCATAATTTTAATGATTTCACTACTGAAAAATAAAGCATAGCTATTTACAAGGAAACAGGATCTTGAACTTGCTGCTTTTGGTCTTCAAAGCCATTTTTCTCCACTATAATATCTAAAGTCATTACTAATATAATTATGCACAAGTATCTCTGTTCTTCTGCAACTATTTTATGGGGGGGGGGGATTAGGGTGAAATTACTTTAGCCAACTACCACCCTCAAAAATTAATGATCTGGTGTATGGATTATTCATTGACTTTACAAGGGCCATCTCTGGACTTGATTCCCCCTCTTGGGGGGCAGTGCTCAGGATCAAACCCAGCACCTTCAAATACTAGTCACTGGCTCTGACACTGATCTACTTTCCCGGTCCAACCTCTGGCCATTTTTGAAATTATTGGGAAGGGAGGGCACTAAAATTCAAATGAGGCAAATTTGGTAATGTTATTAAGTACATATGATACAGTCCAGGAGAAAATGAAAATGCTGTTTAAAACAAAGCTTTGCATGTCAATTGCCCTCTCTGTCTGCCAACCTGCCAATTTCCAGATCGTCAATCACACCTCTGCACAGCTAAACAGAGAGCTGGGGATACAACAAAACATGCTCTGCTCAGTGACAGTATACCCCATGATTATTCCACTGTTTTATTTTATTTGTGAGCAAGGAAAGGCAAGTACAGAATAAATACTACTAATTATTAGTTTTTCTCAGGAACCTTCTATAGTGCTGGTAAAGAAAGTGCTCGTTAAATATTGTTTAATTTCATACTAATATTCAGGAGATATAAATAAAGTACTTTAACCTGGACCTGGACCTTCTCATCCAAGCCATTCAAGTTAAAATTTTTCACAATTATCCTGCATTCTCTATTTAATTTCCCATTAGATGTCTTCTGCGCTTCTCCATTTACATATGAACTCTACTTCAGGGCCTATGTGCTAGATGTCTTTGTATTCTGCACATAGTATTCAGTTCCTATTACTCCCAATGAATGTCCTCACAGGTCCACATGGAAAGTACACATTGTCTTATCTACAACTACACTCCCCTTCTCACAGGCATCTAATAAAATATCTCATGATTCACTTAGTATAATAATTAAAGCATTGATTCCCAATCTTGATTTGCGTAGTTAAGTCAAAACATTATCTGCTATTGTAAGGGATCACATTACTAAGATTTTACCCAATTCATTATTACCTTCCTGAGTATAAATGTTGACACAAGAGAGTTCTGAAACTTGTTATGAGTTGTAACAAAATAAAAGTATAAGTGCTTACTGGTAGTTGCTGTAGACATCCACTATGTATCTTCTAGAAACTTTTTAAATTCAGAAAAAGCAGTGTATTTGAAAGATGCATATTAGTCACTTTTAATCTTAACGAAAGTCACTGTAAAAAGACTTTCTGTTTCATAAAATAAATCTGTATCTTATACAACGGTCTATCCACCCTGATAGCAGAGATTCATTCATTGGACTCCTTGTGCAAACTGGTGTCACTTACAGACAATGGGCAGGGAACAGACAAGCAGACAGGCCTTGCAGCAGCTCCTGGAGGTGGGGGAGAAATCAACAGGAGGCTGCAGAACCAGCCTTTCTGCCATCCAGAACCCACAGGTGCAGGCCTGACTTGTCAGCCTACAGCTGCCCCACTTCTCCCCATGCCTGATGGTAGTGTTTGAATGTGTGAGAAGGAAATGTGCAGCAGGTTTTTAGAAAACTGTAAATCAAAGAATATTTAAGTAAGGTAGGGGGTTGGGGGAGTAAAATTAAAAGGAAAGTGAATTAGGTTGTATGTGATCTGGGCAGCCCAATATAAAAGATGTGCTTTCCATTCCCATCAGACCAATATGTCTTCAAAGCATATTTATTGGAAACCAAATCCTAATATGGCCATTAGGTATTCATAGCACCAATCAATAATCCCTGCTAGAGTTTCAACATATTTGATGCTCTCAAAAAGAAAACAAAACAAAAAAACCCTCAAACCTGCATAATTTTTCTTACAGACTTTTTCTCTTTTGATCCACTAGTGTAAACAAATGTCATTTGTACATTTTTTTCAAAAGAAAGAATTATATGGAATAAAGACCAACTGTTATAACATGCCCCTGAGACAATATGTCAAAGTTGAGGGCCAATTTTCTTTTGTAAGTTAAATGCAAAACAGAATATAATATTGTGAATTTTGATATACAGACAGGTTTTTAAGTATTCCCCATAATTCCACATGTCAAAAATAATATTTATTTGCACCTCATTATTTTCTAAGAACCATATAAATTTACACATTGTATCATATCTCCATTTATCTTCATGAGGCTACTATATCCCATTACATGAAAGGATCAATGGCATAATCTTTCATACTGTTACATAAACAAGTCCTCCCTTCATTTTACAAGTTGCCTCTGTTTCTTATAATGACTTCTTTATTTTCTCCAAGTCAAGTGTGCAGTACTTTCTTCATTTTCCAACTAAAACTAACATATGTAAATTCATTCTCTTTCCCTTTAATGTTAATTTAGATGAACCTTCTATAATGGAAGTCCTAAAGGTACTAGCTCAAATGTACACAATCTTTAACAGAAACTTGACAGCAGCTGACTTAAAACAAAACAAGTCCTAAGAAGCAACCTTCAGCAGAAGCCAAAGGAATCAAAACTACACCCTCCTGCAACCACAGCACTACTGTATCCACCCTTGATCCAAACATTACAACCCAACCATTTTCCCAAACCACAGCTTATTCCTGATTTAGAAAAGTCAAGTTCATTGACTTACTAAACTACACAGCTCCAGCCAGAAAACACAATGTCTCTTCCAACCAGGCAATTATGCAGCATCTGAACTAAAAAGCCATGTTTTCAAGCTCAGTATCAGTGAACAACTTTTGACCACCTTCTTGACATAATAAACAACTGACAGGTTCAAAGAGTATTAACTGGTCCCTCCTGTTCCACAGTTTAATAGACAAACAGAAATGGTTTAACACACGTTACCCAAAGGAGACTGCACTCAATTCTCAGTCTGCACAGTGTAATTACTGCACCCATAAGCACATACTTAGCTTAGTTGATTCTCTCACATTTCAGCAGTTTTGTTTCCCCAAAGAAGGGGAAGAACAGGTCCGAGAGAGAGAGATTCTCCGAGGTTTCTCTTGGCATGGGAAGAATGTGATGAACAGGGGAAACACAATCACTCTGTCTAGCTTGGGCTCCTTTGTGATACTTAAATAGTGCTCCCCACCAGGTTTTGCATCCAATGGAGAAACAGTTTTAGAGTTGAACAATTCAGTCCCCATAGCAAACATGCTAAGAGGAAGAACTCAGAAATTCTAAACACCAAGTAGGGGAGTGGTGAGAAATATGGAAAGTTTCCTTGTCTCTCAGCAGACCTGGTATCTTTCTTTACCTTTGGGGCTGGGGGAAGCATGCTAACCCTGAGAACAGAAACCAACACTTTGGTCTAAAAAGGAACTTGATAGAAATCCAAAAACTCTTTTTGGCCAAGATATCAAAGGTAAGTTCCTGTATGTTTATTCCCCTCCCTGTCATATCCCAACACCTGTCTAATTCATGCATTCAGGTAACTCATTCGTCTTTTTAGAAGAAAGAAAAAAAAAAACTATTAATGACTCCCAAAGTTTTCTCAGTGCAGTTTCTCCATGTTCTAACCCCAAATGGTAAGATCAGAAGATTCCCAACGTGATGGTGGTGGTTTTCCACTGAACTTCACAAAAGTCATAGGAAGGTGTGGATCTAGAGGAGGCAGGGAGGGTATTGGGAGCAAAGAACAGCTATTTTATCCTCTTGGAAGTGTACAATCTCAAGGCAAATCTAGTGGAGAAGCATCTGCATTTTAGACATGTAAATAAATGAATGATGCTGCATTCCAGTACAAAAAAAAAACAAAAAACCAACACCTACCAATGGGGAAAATCAGATCGAAATAAATAATTCTATGTAACAAACTTTTAAATGCTTAAATAAAAAAAAAAAATCAAGTCACCTTTTGTGGGCTGGGTTCTGTATGTCCAGTTTTCATCATCTGCTTCCACCTGCTGCCCATAGACCGACAGCTCTCCATCACTGCGAAACAGCCTCTTTGTCTGCCTGGACAAGGAGGAGAAATTTATCCAACTCACAGCACGTGAGAGAGACCCTGAGTTTGGCTTGAGTCTGAAGGAAGCTGAAGAGCCTTCCTTTTTCATCTTCTTTCACATCAAACTCGACTAGAGACAAAGGACAGCCAGATAAACAAAAAGCTTGGTGTTTTTTTTTTTTAAATTGGCCCAGGTCCTCCAAATTGCCTGCTGCTTCCCACTTATTCAGACAACGTCAGGCATGGAATTATGCAAAAGGCTGCTTCTGACAACCGATTAAAAAGAAAAATAAAGGATTAAGAAATTTTTTTAAAAAAATTTACCCTGGCCACATACTGGTACTCAGTTCTAGGTCAGGGATGTCCACAGTCAAAAAAATAAAAAATAAATATCGGCACAATTTCTTTTAAAATGAAGCAGGCTGTTCATTTCAGGCACACTTGTCAGGACTTTGTAAAGAACAGAACCAAGGCACTCCGACACTTTGGTGTGTCCCTAGCATCCCAAACTGTAATCCTACGCCTCTCCTAGGCATCTTTACCCACAAGGGCAGAGAGCCAGCTGTCCGGTGCGCAAGGACGTAACTTCTCACCCTGGAGAAAAAGATCCAGTGTCCAGCAGGCCCCCAGCTCAAAGTTCACACGCACAGGTTACTCGCGAAAAACCAAAGGGCTCAGCTCTCTTGTCCCGGCAGAGCGCAGAATCATAAACCGCCCACTTGCCCTCCTTCCCGTCTGTGAAGCGCTCGGAGCCGCAGGACTCCACAAACAATAAAACAGGCTGCGTGGCTATTGCTTGGATTACAGAGGGAGCGCTCCCCTGGAAGACGATAGGCTTGCCCGCCACTGAAGGCACCTCATTGGAGACAGAAAGCCCCGCCTCTCCTCAGTCAGTACTCCAAAGGCAGCTCAAACTTCTCAACTCCGGCAGAGCTTTGGAAATGCAAATGGGTGCAGATGTCTGAGGATTTTTTTTAAAAAAAGAATTTGCTAATTAGTTATCAGACCATACTTTTGAAAGTGCAATTTTCTGAAATTTTCTGAAAGTGCAAAGAGTTTTAGTACAGTATATAGTTACATACAAATCCAGCATTCCTGGTGGACTGAGAATTGTCATCACCTAAGGAAACACACTAACCGAGAAAATGAAATGACGCAACTCTTCCTTCACTCCCGGCTTTCAGCAAGGTGAAATGCAGCACACGTGTACCTGTCACCACTTCCTTCCCTGCTGCTACCAGAAGAAGAGTGTGGGGTCCAGGACCACCTCTGCCTCCCCCACTGGTAACACCTCCAGCTGGATTATTCCTCTCTACCTTTGAATAATCCTCCTATCCCAGAGGATCATCCTCTGAGAGCTATGTTAGAGTAATTAGTTGCAGGCTCTAACCCCAAGCATTCTATACAAAATATCTAGAGTCCCATATAGTACAGTCTCCGAATCTGTCCATCATAGAGACTTGGGTCAGCATTCCCTTCTCTAATGTATAAATCAGAATAAGCAACAATTAGAGAACAAGAGCCTTCAACTTATCTTTGCATCAAACAAATGTGTTAAAAACCAACAAATACAGTGGAAAATAAACTTTGATTAAATGTCATAACAGCAGAACTCTGTAACATATATCTAATCCAAGCTTGTAAGAAAAGTTTACAAGCTTACAAGGACCAGAACATTTGTAGAAGAAGAAATCACAGAAACCAATTGTTCCTAGGATGGGCAGCTCATACAACACTGTGAACTCAACAGAAAACAGACACAGAACCAAAGGGTGAAGGGATGAAATAGTCCAGGTGGCACCAATACTGATCCCATTAAAAGCTAAAAGCGTCCTCAAGAGACCATCTGGTTTAAACCCTTTAAGTTATAGAAAGGGAGACTCAGGCCCAGTACTTGCATACCTACTGCCATGCAGTCAGTAAAGGGGAAAGGGACAAAGTTGTATCAGACACCACGGGGGTCAGAGCTTCACCACTTCCCCATCACCAAGTGCTCTGAACATGCTTCAGCTCTTAAATTGGAATGATATATCTACTTATCCACCATTATATGATATAGTTATGTATAATGCCAGTGGCTAATGTCAAAGTTCAAACATCCAGTGCATTCTGTCCCATGGAAGGACACTTTTGAGAATCTAAAAATACAAAAAGTTTTAAAAACACTCTCACCAGAAAGTACATAAATACCTCCAATGCTGTTGCCATTTTAGAGGTTAATGGGACCTCCTGACACAGGACCTCTGCTCTCTAAAGATTCATGCACCCTAAACAACGAACAAGATTCTCTCTTCCCTGTTGTTCATATCCTGCAGCTATATATATTTTTTTAATTTAGAGATATCTAAGCCTAAACCCTGTGCTGTTATTGATAGACCAGAAAAAAAAAAAAAAGTTGGCTGCTGCCCTCCTCAGGGGTATGTATACATACAAAAGCACAGGGGCACTGGTGTGATTGGTAGCCAGTGAGTTATCCTCAGGTACCCGCCCCGCCCCCCTCCCTGCATACATAGGGGAAAGGGCTGATGAGAGTAACCAGAAGAAAGTTCACTGCCAAGCAACTAAGAACCAATAATAACTGGTCCATTCAAGGACTAGACTCAAGATTTTCCCTAAATAAGCTGGATTTATTTATTTACTACTTTGAAGATTATAGCTGAAATTATTTGAAGGAGAAAAAAAACAAGCAAATTATCCCTAAAATTAGACAAAATTCTAGATTTCCAGAAACCATGTTTTCATGAATCACAAGACCTAGTGATATATTTGCACAATAACCAATCCTTTGCTTACTGACTAATCCGTGGTTCTGTTATGTTGGGCCTTGATTATTAAATCTTAACTCATGTAAAAGAAAGTCAAATAAATCAGAGTTGCTAGCAGCCATGAGAGAATGTAATGGCTTAAGTCAGCTTTGGAGGACATATTTAAATTTTAACTATTCAAGTTAACATTTCATTTTGCTTAGAAGGTCCTACATGGGCTGCTTGAGAATGTTTTACATCAATTCACACTGTATTTACTTAGCCACTATAATAAACCACCCATTCTAATTATCTAAACTATCAAGGCAGCAACCACAGCCTTCCACAGAGGTGCTATGTGCCATGTACTTTATATATACTATGCTAATCTTCACAATAATACTACCATAGACTATCTCTACTTTTAGGGGATAATTTGTTTCCAAATAACTTCAGCTGTAATCATCAAAGTAACAACACATTTTAATTTAACCATTTTTTCCCCATGAAAATCTACAGCAGAACACACTCTACCTAGATCTTTCAAACAGACATGCCGAACAGATTTTTATCAGTGTTCCGACTGTGTTGGGCTTTCCCATCTCCCCTCTCACCGTCGGGCTGTCAAACTACAACTTCTGCTGTCATCACATGTGCCAATAACCGCTCCCTCCCACCAATTTTCCACTGCTGAGCTCCAGGCACCAAGAAATCAGATAAACAAGCTTGTTTAAATTATAGGTTTTGCAGGATTCTGGAAGGGAAGAATGAAATGTCTGGCTTTAGAAAGGCTTTGTTGCCGCTGCTGCCTGCCCAGTACCCTTGTCCCTCACTTGTGTGATGGAAGCTCAAAGCTTCCAGTGGCTGGATAAATGACCCCAGAAAGACCTGATAATTGACTGCCTGCCTCTTTCATATTAACTTCTTAGCATTTGAGAGTTACCTTCCCATCATGATAAATTATATTATTCCAGGAATAATTGAAGTAATTCATTCAAGAAAAAGTCTCTAGGAAAACTGGGAGTTACCAGAATATATTACAAGGGAAAATTCTAGAATCATCTTCCTGCATCAATTTGGAAAGATTTCAGTTTTTACCAAGAGTCAAAGGGATGTATTGGATAAGTTTGTGAAGGCCTTGCCAAAAGATACAATAATTCGTGTTTCAATGCATACCAGCATCCTTTAAAAAGGCATTTGGCTCTAATGAAAGTTTTTGATTTAATAAAAATTGTTAGACATGAGAGGATATGGGATCAGAAAAAACCCTCCACCGATCAGGCATGTAATTACTCTAGTTGCCATCTGTGTAAAATGCCAGCCAAGAGCAGGAACTCATTTCAAGTACCATCAGTTTGTGCCCTCAAAGGCCTCAAATGAGCAGTGACTTTTAAATTCTATGTGTGCCTTGTCTGCCCTGTCTAACCTAGAAGGGAAGAGCCCAGCAGAGCCCTGATGCTGGAACTCAATGGGGTACAGTGCTGGGTTATTAGAGTTGGTGGCATGGGTGGGTCTGGCTGGGAATGGAGTGCACAACCAGAAGGCTTATGAACAGAGACAAGGTAGGGGAAACACAGAAGGCAACAGTGAGAGTCACTTAACACTGTCATGTTCTAAACAGCCCTAGTAGAGGGTGTGTGTGTGGGGGGGGAGCAGTGAAGTGTGGGCCTTATCAGATTACCACGGAATCTGCCAGACAACCCTCAGGGACCTTTAGCCTCTAGCACAGGGTCCAATAGGTAGGTTTTCCGACTGTCATCTCCTGTGAATAATTTAAGAGTTGATGTAAATGAGATAATTTGTAAGCACTAATAATAAAAGCTTATCTCAGTATCTAAAAGTAAATAGTTTGAGCCAGATATTTATTTAAAAAAAAAAACAAATTACCATCAGAATCCTAACAAACTCTCCCCAGTACACATCTCCAACTTCCCTTATCCATCTCCCATCCTCTCCCCACTATCCTGCCAAATTAAACAACTGAGCTCCAGAAAGAGGTCTTGGAAGAACACACATGTTACTCTTTTCACGACTGGTCCTATTTTTAGGTTGTCCTCACCAACCACCACATCAGTGTCTGAATGGAAGAAAAGCTCTGCCTGTTCATTAATGCCTGGCTCTAGAAGCCGTCATCCCTTTCCATAGAATTACAAGCATTGTGGTCTTAGACGGAGAGACTGATGCACACGTTCATGTGTGAACCCACCTTTTAGTGCTTTCATGAAAGGCCTCTCTCTGCACAGAAGTGACATTCTGAGCCTGAGCTGTATTGTTCCCATGGGATCCCTTGGTACAGGAGCAAAATGGCAGCACATTACTACCCTTGATCCCCTGAGGCAGAGCACACTGCAAGGGATAATGGCTGTCACTAGTGCAGGAGCTGCAGCTGAAGACAATGGGACTGTCAGAGGCTTGGTGAGCAGCTGACAGCCAGGAAGGCACACTGTTCCAAGCTTGACCAAGAAAACATCCAGGAACCAAAAGGTTCAGATGACAAGGTCTTCTCAAACCGAGCATCCACTGTCACATTTTTCTAATGAGACAACCAAGGACAGGCTTGTTCTGAGATCAAAATAAAACTCCAAATAAATAATTTTTTTTAAAATCATGATTTCCATTGTTCCTGATATCCTTCCCAGGGCCTCTCCAGTGATCACTGTACTCCTAATTTTTTCTATCTTCTCATCCAGGTTTCTTTGCAAACCTTAATGAGTTCACAAATCACAAGAGAGCTTATTAAAATACAGAGTCTAATTCAGACCTGGGGAAGGGCCTAAAATTCCGAACTCCAAAAAGCACCCAGGTGATACAGTACAGGGGACCACCTTTGATGTGGCACAGCAATAGACTCCAATGCCCCCAAGGGCCGGAGCCGGGCTGTCAGCTCCCTGCAGTACCTCATTCACTGCCAGCATTTAACAGGTGTTGGCTGAAGGGGTAAACAATGGAACCCATCCCTTCATTTCCATGGTTCCTTTTCCCCTTGATCTTATGGTTCAAGGCAAGGAGAGAAGTAGATTTTTGTAGTGATCATTTCTTTATCAGTAAA